CCTCCTTCTCCCCCCTCTGCGTCAACAACTCTCAATCCTCGAATGAAAACGCTCCGCCAAGAGGCCTCCGAGAGGCCTCCTATCGTCTCACAAACTCTTACGTCTGTCTTCCCCCTCCCCCGTTTCCCCCCTCTGCGTCAGCGACCCTTGCTCCTTGGACGGAAGGCACCACAATAAATCAGCACGACAGGAATCGAAAGGCCTCCTCTTCATCCTCCAATCTCTTCCTCCTCCAAAACCTCCTTTCCCTCCTCCTCTTCCTCCTTCTCTTCCCCTCTTCCCCCTCCTCCCCCTCCCCCCTCTGCTTCAAGGAACCTCAACCCCTCCCCCCTCTGCTTCAACGAACCTTATTTCTCCAACGAAGAGCGCTACAAGAAATCATCAAGACGATGGAATAAGCGTCCTCTTCCTCCCCCCCTGCTCTGCATCGCTACCATGTCACACCTCAATTTCACAAGCAGCCATAGCAAGGATCCCGCCTCCATCTCCCGCTTGCCCTCCTCGTACCCCTTGTCTTCCTGTTCCCCTCTCCTTCTGTCCAGGTCCTCCTCGTCCTCCTCCTACTCCTCCGCCTCCTCATCATCATCATCATCATTGTCATCCTCCTCCTCGTCCTCCTGGTCCTCCTCCTCTCCTCCTGCTCCTTACAATCATCATCATCAGCATCATCATCAGCATCATCATCATCAGCATCATCATCATCGTCATCATCATCAGCATCATGATCATGATCATCATCATGATCATCATCATCATCATCATCATCCTTGCCATCATCATCATCATCATCATCATCATCATCATCATCATCATCATCATCATCATCATCATCATGATCATGATCATCATCATGATCATCACCATCATCATCATCATCATCATCAGCATAATCATCATCATTATCATCACCCGACCCTCCTCCTCATCATCCTCCTTCTCCTCCTCCTCCTCATTATCATCCTCATGAACATCATCATCATCATCGTCACTCGACCGTCGTCGTTATCCCTGGTTCCCCCCGCCTTCTCGTTTCCAACATAATCGTCTTCGTCCTCTTTGACCTCCATCACACCTCAATCACCTTCCTTTTCTTCCTCTCCTCTGCATCGCTATCATGTCACACCTCAGTCCCAGAAGCAACCATCAAAGGGATCCCGCTTCCTCCTCCAGGTTCTCCTCCTCGTACCCCTCGCTTCCCCCTCCTCCTTGTCCACTTCCTCCTCCTCCTCCTCCTCCTCCTCCTCCTCCTCCTCCGGCCCTTCAACCTAATTACGTCCTCGGCAGTGCCGCGGCGATCCACGCAAACCGCTGGGACCGGGCACGTCGGGCACTCTTGTCCCCGCGCCCCGGCGGAGCCGCGTCTGAGTCGGGCCCGCGCCATCTCATACCTCATCGGCCCCTGGAGGTCCGCGGCCGACAAATACCCCGAGCAGGTCCCGGGCAGGTCCGCCGCAAGTCCCCATCAGAGATGGTTCTGCTCCTGCGCGCCGCCTTCAGGCCTCCCGAGTGTCCAGAAAAAGGCCCCCAGGCCCCCGGATAGGCCCCCAAAGGCACGAGGACACCACCGCGCAGCCACAGTGATGCGAAATGGGCCTCCGGAGTGAGCGAAGCGATGAAATAATCAAAACAATAGTCTGGGAACGATGGTTTGACTGTTTTTGGTTATGCTTCGAATATGTTTGACTAGTTTCCACTTTTCGCCCGAAATCCGCCTGTTGGTGGTCGTGCCCGACCTACGACGAGCGCCGTCGCGATCGCCTTGGATTCCCCTCGGATTCCACCGTTGGTCTGTCACTGCAGCTGGCCATCGCTCGGACGTCCATTCCCTGTGTTTTTGTTCGGTTTCGTGCGCGGTTTCCTTGGCCCAATGATCAAGGATGCTCCTCGAGGGTCCTCGCCGAAGGAAACATGCACACGTCCGAGCGATGCCAAGACAGGGGGGGGGGTCAGGAGGCCGTCGCTCCTGCCACTACAGAGGGGCTCGTGACGGCCGAGCTCTGCAGCCGTCGCCTCTCTCTCTCTCTCTCTCTTCTACCCTGCTGCACGGGCGCGCTCGTCGCCCTGGGGGGAAGCTCCCCCCCAATGGCGACGAGTCCGCGGCTGGGGGGCCGCATGCGAACCCTGCCCCTAGCCCCCACGATTTCTGAGGGGGAGGGTGGGGCTCACTTCGCTCGGGAGCTCCCGCGCGAAGTGAACCCCACCCTCCCCCTCAGAAATCGTGGGGGGTAGGGGCAGGGTTCGCATGCGGCCCCCTGGCGGTGGACAAACCCCTCCCTTTGGGAAACCACCCTTTCGTGGAAACGGCCCGGGACCGAAACCGACGGACCTGGACCCGCAAAAAGGACGGCCGCGCGACCCTCTCGCGAACCGAGGACGGCCAATTCGCAAATCGACGTGTCAGGGTAGGAGGTCGATCAACCTCCGAACGAGCGTCGTCGCGATCGGCCTTAGAAGGCGCCGGCCTTAGCAGGCTGCTTCTTAGAAGGCGCCGGCCTTACATCTATAGATAAGGCCCGCGCCTTCTAAGAAGCAGGGGTGCTTCTAAGAAGCCCTCCCCCCTCCCCCCAAACCCCCCTCTGCGCGTGGCGGATTCAAAAGAAACTTTGACGGTCTGCGCGGATTTCTTGGATCTGCACTGGACCCCCTCCCCGGCGCGCGGAGCGCGCCAGAGGCGCCGCCGTGGGGGGCCCAACGCGGATATCCAAGAAATCCGCGCGGAGCGCTGCAAGTTTGTGTTGGTGCCGTTTTCCTCCCTCGACTCTTGCGTCTTGGCATGAGGCGCGTGGCTGAGTCTTGAGCAGGGACCGACCGTCCCAGCATTCCTATAGTCCTACCACGAAGTGTTCTTCGAACCCACATATGTTATAATAACAAAAGCAGTGGTCTTAGAACATGGGCCCGACGTGATAAAACAGGACGGACTCCGCCAGACATGTTCTAAGAACGTTCCGCGGAAACCATAGGAAAGTGTCTTAGAATATTGCTTGGTAGCGCTATCGGCGAGCCAGGACGCTTCGCCACTGCTTGAACCCTTCCCTCGTTTTCACGTTCCCTCGTTTCTTCCCAATCAGTGCTTCGCCACTGCTTGCGAGTCGTCGCGATCGCCATCGCCGGCGTCGCGACCGTTCGCCGTCGCCGCCGCCGCCGCGGGCTCGCCGGCAGCCGCGGCCGGCGGGCGGGCTGCGGCCACGGCCGGCGCGGCGTCGTCCTGCCCGGGCACCAGGCGGCGGCGGCGGCCGCGGCCAGCGCAGCGGGCGCGGCTTCAGTGAAAGCGCACGGGCCGGCTCCTCCTCCCTCCTCCTCCTCCTCCTCCCTCCTCCTCCTCCTCCTCCTCCTCCTCCTCCTCCTCCTCCTCCTCCTCCGCCTCCTCCTCCTCGTCCTCCTCCTCCTCCTCCTCCTCCTCCTCCTCCTCCTCCTCTCACAACATTGATGATCCCCCCGCGTGACCCCGAGCTTGGTCATCCCCTGTGGATGATTATCAGGGGCAGCAGGCTACATCCTTCAACTTTCGCTGTCTTGGCCAATCGGGCTGCGATGGCCCACCGAGCGCGCTGGGCTCACCAGGGGGAGGGAGGAAGTGCCGCGGGGCGAGGGGAACAGAACATGGCACGAGCATGAACTGATAGGCCCTGTTTTCCATCACCACCACCATAAGTTGGAGGGGGAGGGGGTCCTCCTCCTCTTCCTCCTCCTCCTGCGCCTCCTCCTCCTCCACCTCCACCTCCTCCTCCTCCTCCTCCTCCTCCTCCTCCTCCTCCTCTTCGTCCTCCTCTTCGTCCTCCTCCTCCTCCTCCTCCTCCTCCTCCACCTCCTTCCCCCCTCCCATGTATGGTGATCGTGGTGGAAAACAGGCCCATCATGAACCTGCGGAGGTCCGCGCGGATTTCTCGGATCGACGCTGGAGCCTCCTGGCGGTGCCTCCTGCGCCACCCCTATCGCGCTCCGCGCGGCAGGGAGGGCGGTCCAGCGCCGATGCAAGGAATCCTCGCGGACCTCCGGACAATCATGTTTACGCCGTTGATCGTGCCTGGCATAAGAGGAACGCACGAGAAGGATGCAAGGGCCTTGGAAGGACATGCCGATCCGGCGAGCGAAAGCGGCCAAGGATGGGCTGGAGGGGAAGAACGTAAGGATAGCCTCAGGTCGGGCATGTCCCCCTGCAGGGAGATTTT